TCTGTGGAGGACCACCTGGGCAACTCGCCTTGAGGGAAGGGCAATTGTCCCCATTTTGGCTGAATCTGGCCCTATTTCCATGTATTGATGTGTGCAGAGCTGGCTAGGACTTTTCTTTATCCCTTCAATTGGCTTTAAGCAATGCATGTTGATCCAGCCGTGTTGTTGATCTTGCACAAAGATGTGCAGTCTTTGAAGCAAAGACAACAGGGCAGTGTTTCCCCATCCCTCCATAGCTCCCAAATAAAATATGTGTGAGCCAAGGCAAGGCAGGATGGAGAGCCGTGCTCCATGCTGTTGGCTGGGATTGAGCCTCAAGATAAGAGGCTATGACTTCCCAAGGCATAAAAGATTATACATCAGAGCTGAAGCACAGACCACAAAAAAGTCACATACTACCTCAATTGTGTTATGCAAATTACTCTTGCTGCATATCCTTCTCTCTGCGTATTGCACAGGTGATTTCAGGCCTCCTACCTAGCCCAGCTCATGGCACTCATGTACTTCCCACCATTCTTTTTTTTTCTTTTTGTACCAGGAATTGAACTCAGGACCTTGTGCTTGCCAAGCAGGAGCTTGTGCCACTGAGCTATATCCCCAGCCCCTTCCCACCATTCTCACAGTCGCTCATTCTCAAACCACTCCTTCACGAATTAATAAAACGCAGATTCGGCCCTGAGTTAAGGCCTTTCTTCTGTTTAACCATCATTGTAGCCAGACTCAGGACCCCCTTGATTCCCCACCATTTTGGATGTGTTCTTGTGTTATTATTTGCACCATGTGTTACACTGAGAGTGGTAGATTGGAATTAACTTGACATGCTTCCAATAACTTTTCCATGGGATTACAAATATAAATTTCCTGTACCACAATGAGGACTTGGAAGGGATCTCTATAGATATCAAAAGAGGCTGCCTTTGAAATGAAAGGGTCATTGGAAATGACCAACCATGTTCTTCTCATTTGAACTGAATCAAAGAATTGGAGCCTCAAAATTTGTGTCCACATCTCACAACTAAAGAGCACCTTACTTGGCTTTTTGGCACAATGCATATAATGGAGGCATAAAGTAAAGCTACCCAGAGAAATTCTTCTCCAGAGGGAAATGGCATGGTAAGACACTGGCAGCTTCCCTAATACATTAGGCCAAGAATTCCCCATCACCATATACACCTTATTCTCTCTAGTTTCTTCTATTTTCTGCTATCCTAACATATTCCCTTTCCACAGAAGGAAATACATTAAACAGGTAGTCTGTGGACGGCTTTACCAAAGGCTCATACTCAAGAAATACAAGAGTAATGGTTGGGTATGTGGGCCAATGCCAAAAAGAAAACAAAATAAAGCAGAGGAAACTCATCCATTTCTGCCAATATCTTTTCATGCTTGCAATGAAAAATCCCTGTGTTACTACAGTTCCTGTTGCTGTGGAAAAAAAAAAAAAAAAAAAAAACACTGGAGATAAACAACTGTGTTCACCAGATTTTTGTCCCTGTGAAAAATTTTGACATAAATCAATTTGAAATAGGAAAGATTTATTGTGGCTCATGACTTCAGAGTGTTCAGTCCATGGTCAGCTGGCCCCCATTGCTTTTGAGCCCAGGACAAGGAAGAAATGTCTGACAGATGTAGAAGATGAAAGTATGTAGATGCTCACCTCAAGGTATCAAGAAAGCAGAGAATGAGGGAAACAGCTAGAAAGGAAGGGGCCCAGGACCAGACAGTCCCCAGTCACACCTCCTTGAACCACTTCTTTCACTAGGCCCAACTTTCTGTTTCTATTATCTCCTTAAAATTCCATCAAATTAGATCTCATCAGTGCATTCATCTGCTGATGAAGTTATAGCCTCAGAGTCAAATCACTTCCCCAAAACCCATCAGCAAACAACCTTTCAACATAATAAGCCTTCTGCAGGGGAGACATTTTGGATCCCAACCACAACATTCTACTCCTGTTCCCCAAAAGAACACATTGATCTCACTGTACAAAATGCATTAGTGTGTCTCTAAGAATTGCCAAAGTGTTAACATTTCAAACCTCTCTCAAAAGTGCAAGTCCCAAATCTCCAATGGGATTCAACACAAACTCTAACTGCAAGCTTCTATAAAAAATTTTTTATTTCATTACTCCAATGTAGAATGGTAGAACAGACACAGGGTGAACACTCCCATTCCAAAAAGTAAGAATAAAGGTGTAATGGTTTGTGTCTTTATGTCAGAGCCCCATGCAGTTATAGGGCAGGTTTCTAGGGGTTCTGACTGACTCGTGGTTCAATGCTGCAATTATGGGTGTGAGTGCTACACCCACCCTAGGGCGGGTAGCCTGCATACAATAAAAGGGAGGGAAAGAGACTTGCTTGCTGCCCCTCTTACCTTTTCGCTCTTGTTGCTTCTACTGTTTTCTGCCCCCATGAACTGTTGCCCTCTGCCATGTGCCACTCTGCCTTGGAGCCAGCCAAGTCTGGACTGAAACCTCCAAAGTGTGAGCTAAATAAACCTTTCCTTCTTTATTTTTGGTGTCAGGTATTTTGTCCCAGCAAGGACAGAAAAGTAACCAAGACAAGGGGAATAGAAAGAAACTGGACTGAAGTGACACTGAAGTCCAACAGGGCAAATATTAAGTCCTGCAGCTCTGTATCTAGCATCCAGGGAGTGTGTGGTGAGATATGAGCTTCAAAGAGCATGGGAAATCCACCCTTTGTCCTTACTATTGCAGCTCACAGTGCCTCTCTCTTGGGTCGGCTCTGCCCTCTGCCTATGCTAGTGAACTTTAAATCATTTGGTGTTCCTTGGTTTCACTCATGGAGCCTCCTGTGAAAGTGAGTTTCAATTTCTTGGCCCAGTGCACTGTGCTGTGCTTACTCACAAGTCTAATACGCATATACTGCTGCCTTTTCTACATCAAGTGTCTTCATTGGTTGGATTAACAAAAAAATAAGAGGCATGCAACTAACTTAGCCACCTGATACTGTGAATGTATCCTGAAATCCAGAAGTTCCTTTGACGGTTTCAGAAGATGGTGAAACAACCCATGATCATCACTTTGGTCTCTCAATTTTGAGAAAATGACCAAGGGTAAGAGTTGTTCAATTGAATGCAATTTAGCTTAAGTTAGCCTCAATACCTTAATGGCCTCTCTGGTGGACTGCCACCTGCCTTGACATGTAAACAAACCCATGAGAACATCCTAATCACCAAGCAACACACCCTAGCCCATCACAGGACTAAACTTTCAACCAATACAGGACTAAGGCTGCCAAATTATGCCCAAAGCAGGAACATTCTGAACTGTACCTATCAGATGATCTCTGTTGTCATTCTTTACTGATGATCATGAATATGGCTCACCTTGTTGGAGGTGGCAGCCTTCTTCCCATGCTCAGGCCATGATGCTTTCCAGTACTAGAACCCATTTCTTGCTCAAATAAACCTCGTTAAAACTTGGTTTTAGAGAGCCTTCTTCCCACTGTATATACCCACATAAATAGAAAGGAAGATGTTGAAGAGAAATTTGTATGCAAAGTTTATAGTAACACTATTCCCAACAGTTAAAATGCAAAAGCAACATAAATATCCATTTGCAGATGAATGGATAAGCAGAAGGTACTAGCGTTACTAAGTTCTGTGCTGCTGCAATAATGCCTGAGGTAACTGAATTTAAGAAGTGAAAAGGTTTATTTAGCTCATGATTTTGTGGTTCACAGCCAAGGTTAGGCAGCTCTACTTATTTGGTACAAGTTGAAGGCAGCACATCTTAGTGTGCGCATAGATAGGAGAAAGTAGCATCCCAAACCAGATAGACTGAAATTCTATAATCGAAAAGCATACCTCCAATGAAATAAGGACATCCCACTAGGTCGTACCCCCTAAAAGTTCCACAGCCCCCTAGTAGCACCATGGCAGGTCCAAACCTTTACCATGTGTGTTTCTGGAGGGCAGTCAACATCCAAGTCCATTTCTCAATGCATACTGCATTTGTTCTCTCCCAAGAATCTCAGAGTCATAATCCCCAGCATTTCAGTCCAATGTCTCATCTGAGACTCAAGGCCAGCTCCTCTGTGGTCCATTGTAAAATCCACAACAAGTTACCTATTTCCAAGTATAATGGAAGGACAGGCACAGAGTAAAAATTCGTACTCTGAAAGGGAAGAGTAAGGAAGGAGGAATCTGCCCAATGCAAGACTGAAACCCAAAAGTGTAAACACTGAACCTGGAATTTCTGTTTTGCTTTGCTTTGCTTTGCTTTGCTTTGCTTTGCTTTGCTTTGCTTTGCTTTGCTTTCTTTGCTTTGCTTTGCTTTGCTTTGCTTTGCTTTGCTTTGCTTTGCTTTTTGACACAGGGTCCTGCTCTGTACTTCAGACTGGCCCTGAATTCAGGGTAATCCTGCCTCAATCTCCCAAGTGCTGGGATTACAAGCATGTGTCACCACACCCATTTTAAATCTGGAATTTCTGACTTAGTCAATGCCTTCATCAATGGGACAAAATACCTGACATCCACAATTTAAACATGAAGTTTATTTTGGCTCACATTTCCGTCCATCATGAGCTGAATCCAAGCCAGGATGGCATGGCAGAGGGACGTGGCAGAGGACAGGTGTTCATGGGATGACATCCATGACATAGAGAGACAAGGGAGGACCCAGGGAGGGAGTTAGACCCTCCCAGACCACATCCCCAGTGACCCACCTCTTCTGAACAGGGCCCACACCTGGGCAGACCCATCCCAGTGACTGCTGTTTGCAGCCTGCATGGTTCCTGTCAGGTTGGTTTCCACGCTGCCTGGAGCTCATGCTCATGGGCATTATGCACTGCTGGTGCCTCTGCCTCCCCAGAGTCTCCCAGCACCTCTTCCCTCCCAGAGGTCCACTGGGCATCCCCACCAGGATTCCCCACAGGATCGCTGACTCTGCAGGACACTTCATGGTCCCCCAGTTCTCATTGCAAATGTTGGTGGAAGCCTCCATCACCTGTAACGCTTGTGTTCTGCTCTTTCTAAAGCCAGCATCACATGGGCAACACCAAGGTCTGCCACTTGCCTGGTCTGCATGTGGACCCATGGAACCATGGCTGTGACCATAGAGGGCCTGGCCAGCTCAACACGAGGAAACGAATCTTGAAGCGGTCTCAGTCATACAAGGTGCCCTGAGTTTTCTTCCTCAAATTATTCTGCCTTTGAAACGAATTTGCATTTCTAAACTTCTGAGCTTATGCTGGGATTGGAAGTGGTGTCAAAGATCACCGAAACTGGGCATGGCAGGACACACCTGTAATCCCAGCACAGGGAGGCTGAGACAGGACGATTGTAGGTCTGAGCCTACCTGGGCTATCTAGCAAGGTTCTGTCTCAAAATAAAAAAGTGCTGCTGAGGATGTAGTTCAGTGTAGAGGTTTGGGGTTCAATCCCCAGTACTGCAAACAAACAAAAAACTCCCTGAGTCACTCTTCAGACATTGTTTTCCATCATCAGCAATCACACCTTCCTTGACCCCACTTTTACACGGCTTTTTCCTCTCCTTTCCTAGCTAGGCTGTGAGTTTTTCAAATCTTTTTGCTCTTTCTGATCCTGATTCTCACAGTAAAACTGACTACAAGCAGCCAGCAAGTCCCCTGCTGCGGCCTGAGTGCCTTGCTGTTTTCAAACATCTTCTACCAAGTAAACCAGGCCGTCACCTTTACCCTAGGCAGCCCCAGTCGGTGTACAGATACACTGCACTCTAATTCTTCACCCCAGTGTGGCAAGGATGTCCCTTCTCCAATTAAAACCCCTGTATTTCATCTGAGACCCCACCAGCATGGCTCATCCCACCCTGTGTTCTATCAGTATTCTGCTCTCCTGAGCCCTTGCAAGAATCCCAGCAAAGCTCTGCTTACAACATCCTACGATCTCTCTACACTGCTGCGCCAGATCTTCCAGTATCTTCCACACATCAACTCCAAAAGGGCCCTCCACATCTCAAGGTGCAGTTAGAACAACAACCCCCTTCCTCAGTGTGGAGGACCACCAGGATGGCTTTCCTTGAAAGAAGACCATTTGTCTCCATTTTGGCTAATCCTGGTCCAGATTCCATGCATTGATATGTACAGAGCTGGCTGGGATAATACTCTTCCCCTTCAATTGACTGTAAGCCATGCAAATGGGTTTAGCCAAGACACTGATGTGTAGCCTTTGAAGCAATGCGAGGGATCAGTGATGCCCTGCCATAGCTCCCTATTACTAAGCTTGAGCTGGCCAAGAGACACCGAGCTGTCAGCTGTCAGCTGGAACTGGAACCAGTCATGTGGTGGACCCTGGGAACAGAAGAGACAGAGTCACTGTCACTGAGGTGGGCACCTTCCCAGTGGGGACACGGGCCAGGCCAGGAGGGCAACGTCATGTAGATGGACTGTGGAGAGCGATTGTGTGACCCGCTGTGCCCAGGAGCTCCCTGTGCCTCAGTGTCCCCATCTGCATATTGACATCTGTATTAACATTTATTCTGCATTCTTTCCACAGGGGAGAACGCTCTTTCCCCCAGGGCCCTATGGCTAGCTCATCCACCCTGGCCTCCTACCAGGGTCAGGAGCTAAGGAGAGGAGGCAGGCGCTGACCTCGACAGACCTGAGTGCAAATGCATGTGACGCCCACCCCCTGCCTGCCTTGTCACACACAGTGCACAAAGCAGGGATCAGGGCGGGCACTGTGTGACTATGTGGCCAGGGGTGAGGTCAGCCCTACACGTGTGTCTGTGACTGTGTTTGTTTCTGTGTGTGACCGTGTGTCTGTTAGTGTGTATATGTGTGTCTATGTGTGTGTGAATGTCTGTGTCTCCAGATCTTATAAGAATCAGATGCAGATGGATGAGGAGGAGGGGTCGAAGTCTCCAAATCCTGAAAGCTTAGATAAAGGTAGATATTTGGTCTGCCCTGGAGGCAGAGATTTGGTCACACTGAGGACTATTTTGGTGGCACAAGGCTCTTATCTCCCACCGGTCCCAACACAAACCTTGGAGCTTGGACAATGCACATTGCAGACCTCAAGGGAGACTCCCTAGGGCAGATCCATAGGGTGCCCTCCTGGTGGGGACACGGGCCAGGCCAGGAGGGCAACGTCATGTAGATGAACTGTGGAGAGTGATTGTGTAACCAGCTGTGTCCAGGAGCTCCCTGTGCCTCAGTGTCTCCATCTGCATATTGACATCTGTATCAATATGGGGAAAGACACTCAGAGATGCAGCAGGTGACAATTATTAACTGTCACCACTGAGCAGGCACACTACTAGACCCTCAAAGGTGTCCACCCATGATCTCCTCTCAGCCGCTCCCTGCAGGCTCTGGGGTGACCTCGGGGCTCCCTCCCACCCCACCCCCACCTCCAGATGGCCTGGCACCAGCTGGCTGTGTGGACAAAGCCAGGTCAGGAAGGACGGCGAGGGCCTCAGGAGACAGCAGCAGGTTGCATACAGACACCAGCCAGGGTCAGCAGAGGCCCCAGGCTCTCATCCTGCACAGACAGTTCCTGGTCACAAAAGAATTGAGTGTCCCCATGTCCCCTACACAGTCTGCAAGCCCCCAAGGCCTGAGAGTGCAGGAGGGACAGTCAGTGCTGTGTGTCCAGCCACAGCCTCCCCCACCTCCGCACCCTGCTCGGTAAGTCCTGCTCCAGTGCCTGAGCCTCCAGGGTGGGTGCTGTGAGCCTCCGTGCAGGGTCTGTGTCCGTACTCCAACAGGGAAACTGAGGTACACCCAGTATATCTCCTATGGCAGAGCCAGGACCTGCGCCCAGGCAGTTGTGCCTTAGACATCTTTCTGGGTAGAGTCCAGGGCAAAGCACTTACCCTGCAGCGCCCAGCACACGGTAGGCCCACAGGGTGAGCACTGGGGAGGGTGCTAGCTTAATGCTTCTTCCTCCTTGGGACACCTCCCAGGCCTGGATGGGCCCTGCACCCCAACGTCCCCTGGCCTCTCCTGTAGAGAGCTGAGGAGCAGCCTGGGCAGAGTCTACCTCTGCTCCAGTGTGTCCTCTGCCTCTGTCCTCTCACCCAGGTCCTCTGAATCCAGCTTGAAATGGGCATCCACGTTCACCCACTGCCTTAGGGGAGCACAGAGCACTTTAACTTCCTGCCTCTAAGAGCTTGTTTCTCAGAATTCTAGAAGACAGTGCAGGGTCCTCCCTGTCTGCTCACGGAGCCCTGCTTTCCCACCGAGGGAGCCCAAGTCCCCGGTCTATTCATGGAACTCTCAGTCTGGAAGGGAACAGAAGGGAATGTGGACTCGGCAGCTCCTCAGATAACCTGGCTTCTTGTTCTCTTCTCTTCCCTCCTCTCTATTACCTGTATCCAAAGCCCTGGTTCTCCTCTGTGTGTCTCCTCCCTGTCCTGATGCTGGGAGTTTGCAAAACCCATCATGCTCTCCCCCAAGACCTGCCCTCTCGGGCCATAATCTGGGTGTCAGTTTTGATGGCTACATTATTTCATTTCATCCCTACCATCCTACCTTGAAGATGAGTTTTGGTGACCCTTAAATATCCACCAAAAGTCACACAGCTGACAGTGAGAGCCCAGACCAGAAGCTGTGTGTGCTTTTACCACTTTTACCCTGAGCAGTTTGCTGAGTAGAACAGATTCTGCACTACACCATCAGGAAAGGGGCTCAGGGCTCAGTATGTCCAGTGTCTGAGTTACCAGCTCACCGACCTTGGCCCTGAGCCTCTGCCTCTCTGGGTTCTGGATTCCTCTGAGGGAAGCAGAAGGTGATGCTTGCATCCACAGGACTGTTACAAGCAAGCAAAGAGTGAACACCCATGAGGGCTCGGGGCTGTGCTGGGTGAGGGTCGGCGCCTTGTGTACGTGTCTGTAGCTGTGAGCCTTCCAGTGGTGAGGATATAGACAGCACTAGGCACAGGCTGGCATGCAGTACGTGGTTAAGAAACTCTAAGTGGTTCAGTGCTTGGTCAGCGGGAAAGATCACGGCCCAGGCTCAGGATTGGCCCTCCTTTCTCTGTCCTACAGGACAATGCCATCATCCGTGTCGCGGCGCCTTCTCTTGCTGGCAGGCCTGTGCTGCCTGCTTCCGGTCTCCCAAGCTGAGGATCCCCAGGAGACAGAAGCATCTGACCAAGACTCCAGGTTCCAGGAGCATCCAGGCTGCCGGAACATCGCAGAGACCCTCATGGACCTCTTCTTTTCCTTGTACCGAAAAACAGCCCAACGGTCCAAACTCAACAACATTTTATTGTCTCCAGTGAGCATCGCTTCCGCCTTTACAATGCTCTCCCTGGGGACCAAGGGGGAAACTCGCACACAGATCCTGGAGGGCCTGGAGTTCAACCTCAGAGAGATGCCTGATGCTCACATCCACCAGTGCTTCCAGCATCTCCTCCTCACCCTGCTGCATCCAGACCGCCAGCTCCAGCTCACCATGGGCAGCAGCCTGTTCATTCACGAGAGTCTGAAGCCCTTGGATCAGTTTGTGCAGGACGTCAAGGAGCTGTACCACACAGGAGTCATCTCCATCAGCTTCAGGGACACCCAAGTCGCCAGGAAAGAGATCAACAATCATGTGGAGAGAAAAACTCATGGAGAAATAGTGGATTTGGTCAAAAACCTGGAGGGAGGCACAGTTCTCGCCCTGGTGAACTACATTTCCTTCCATGGTAAGGAGGGAGCCCAGCCTGAGCTGGCTCCTCTGAAATAGTCCAAATGGGAGCTCCAATGCCCACTGCTTATGGTGCCAGAGTCTGGGCCTTTAGATGTTCTTGTCATCTTGAACAAAGAATTGGTTGAGACAAGTGCAAAAGGTAATGAGGTTTTACATTTATTGAATGCATTAAAGGTAGAAAAAGAATTAAGCTCTGCAGAGAGCACAGGCTAATTAAAAGCAGGAAAAAAGTAAGCTCCATGCAGTGCAGAGTGGGGCTCTGAGAAAGAAAGAACACAATGGCCACAAATTAACGGCCACTGCTTTTGTATTCCCCATTATGACGTCAGATCTAGGCTGTCTAAGGAAAACCTGTTTGATCTTGTGCCAGAAGAACTGACCATAAATTCTCTGACTGGAACCAGGTGCAGAGCTTTGAAGCTATCCCTTGCACGTGTCACATGTTGACAGGCCATGCCCATGTGCCCAGCTGCTCTCCCACCCCCAATAGACACAAATCCCTGCAATTCTTAATGGGCCGCTGAGAGTGTGGAGGGCTCTGTCTTAATTTATACTACTTCCAGCCCAAAGGGGTCATAGGGGTCGTGTGCTCTCCAACTATCTTGGGATGTTGTGGCTTCAGGCTGGGTTGAGAAAACAGTGAGAAAAAAGTTAGTGTCTGTATATGAAGAACTGCCGAGCTGCCTGCTCAGTGGATGAAAGCTTGGTGAATTTGTCAGGAGAGTAACTGTACTATTCTGTTGGGGATAACTTTTATGCTTCCTATGGAGGAGAAAATATGGCATAGAGGGATATTAAATAGGCTACCAAGAGCCTGAGCACTATAGCCCTAGCAAGATTACCCACATGATAGATCTAACTAAAATAGGAATCTCAGCCAGGCATGATGGTACACACCTGTGATGCCAGCACTCAGAAGGCTGAGGCAGGAGGATCAGTATGAGTTTGAGGGCAGCCTGGGCTACGTAGTGAACTCAAGCTTCATCTGAACTGCATAGTGAGACCTTATCTCAAAAATAAGACAAAATAAAATTTTAAAAAAGGAGTCTCAATACAGTGTCCATTTAAACTGTGGTGGATTAGGAGCCTTTCATGATTCTGTTTATCTGCACTTGGAGGAGCACAGGAGTCTTGCTTTTTGAAGAAGAACTGCAGATCTTCCAGAAGTTCACAGGAATAGCTTTCTTCTTTTGGATGGCCTTTTTCCTCAGACAATTCAGGTGAAGCTGGCTTTATTTTAGAAAGATGAATCCAGCTATCTATCTCTGCCACCATCTATCTCTGCCACCCTTACTGCAGTAGGTATGGCAAGGATCACTGAAAAGGGACCCTTCCATTTTGGCTTTATTTGTCTGCAGGACTTCCTTCCTTCCAAGTTGTAATGAGCACTTAGTCCCCAGGATGGACACTAAGTTTGGTCCCCCTGGGCCAAGAGCGGCAGGACTTCATTCCCATATAGTTGGATAGCCTGTTCTATTTGGCCTAGATTAGTAAGACAGTGAAAGAATCTTGTGGTCTCTGGGTCCAATACCATATCAAAAGATGGAAAAGATCTCCCATATAACACCTCAAATGAACTCATAATTAGCCATTTTGGGGATGTTTCAAATCCTCATGAAGGCTATTGTCAATAATCATGACTAAGACTCAGAAGTCTCTTGGCAAAGTTTTGCCAGAGGTCACTTTAGGTCTGGTTGAGTCTCTTGACCTTTTTGGAGGACTGGCTTCTCCATGCAGAATGGAAAAGGTACTTTACTGCTAAAGCCTTTGTCACCCCTTGAGTTGTTTGAAACGTAAAAGAAAGCCCATTGTCACTCTAAAGGGACTGGGGTACTTCAAACTGGGGTATGATTTCTTTTAGGAACATGTTGACTATCTCCACAGCCTTTTCTGAATGAGTAGGCAAGGCCTCAATCCAGTCATTAGGACCAATATTTGTTTAAATCCCCCATATGATGGCACGTGGGTAAAGTCTAATTGCCATTTCTCCTTAGATTATATCCCTCTTCTCTGTAAAGTTTCTAACAAAGGAAGCGGTTTGAGTTTGCAGGATTACTGTAGGCACAGCGTTCACAAGCTTTGCAGACCCATTGGATGGTTGCCACAAGTCCTAGCCCTGTTAAAATTCAAGTGACCATTTCCCATCTTCTCACATGGAAAGAATCGTGAAGGATTTTTTAATAGCCTTCCACTTTGTGTCTTGAGGAAGGACTAGTTTGTTTTCTAAATATCACCAGAGTCCCCTTTTAATTCCCCATTGTCCTAAGCCCATTTATCTCCCTGAGGGAAATAGACTATTTTTTAATGGTTCCTCAGGAATTGGGACTAATTCGAGGGTCTTGAGGATCTGTGACATAGACATGTCTAGTTGGTGTCCTCTACAATGAATGCTAGCAATCTGCTTGGGAAGATAGATAGCCTCTAAGAGCTGTAGAATTTCCTGCTTGTGCTTTATAGATGATTACTTATTAGTTAACAAGCCCCTTTCTTTCCAGATTGCTGCATGAGCATATAGCACCAGAAAGGCATATTTGGAGTCTGTGTAGACCTACAACTTTTTGCCTTTTCCTAATGTCAATGCCTGAGTCAGGGATATGAACTCTAATTTTTGAGCAGAAGTCCCTGGGGTAAGGGATTTGACCTCAATAACCTTTTGTGAACCAACAGCTGCATAACCTGGCTTTGATGTCCTTCTTGGACAAACTACTTCCATCAGTGAACCATATCTCCTCAGAGTCTTGGAGGAACAAGTTACTGATGACCTGTCTGCTTGCATAGGTCTGAGAAATCACCTGTTCACAGATTGGCCAAACTCTGAGGCTACAGGTATCAGTGAGGCGGGATTAAGAGTAGTGCAAATCTTTATGGTAACTTCAGGGATGTGTAGAAGCATGGCATGATACTTAATAACCCAATCACTTGTCAACCACAAGAAACTTTTTGTCTCAAGAATAACCCTGACCTGATGGGGAGTCAGGTATTCTAGCTTTGGTCTCAAAGTTAGTTTAATAGCATTTTCTGATAGCATAGCTGTAGCTGTTATTGCCCTCAGGCAGGATGGCCATCCAACAAGGACGCCATCTAAAAAAAAATCATTATCTATTTCTCAAAAGGCATTGTCAGTTACTTTTGTGCATTCTTGGAGCACAGACTCAGGACATTTTTCTTGAGATTTATATCCCTTCCTAGCTAGAAAATTGAGGATTTGGATATACTATTGTTGGACAGCTCCCCAGTTGGGCTGCAGGTTAGAAAGTCCCCAAGCAAAAAAATAAGGAATGTCTCTAAATAAGGAATGTCTCCCTGTGGGAGAACTACCCAAGTACAGTTTTATTTTTCCTTTAAAATGTGATTTTTCCCATTTAAAGAGAAATAGAAACTGGGAATCTGGATGGATTCCAGATTCCCCCATACAATGGAGTGGAATAGGAAAAAAAGCATCTTTTAGGTCTAAGACTGATGGAGTGGAATAGAAAAAAAAGCATCTTTTAGGTCTAAGACTGAAAACCAATTTTGGCTCCCGGATTTGGAAGAGGATGGTATCTGCCACTACACGATGGATTGGGATTATAGACTGGTTAACAAGGTGTAAGTTTTGTACCACATTATAGTCTCCTGAAGGCTTTACTAGCAAGTATGGGAGTATTGCAAGGGAACTGGCAAGGCCAAAGAAGGCCATCTTTGAGAAACCTGTTTATGAGAGGCTGGAGGCTTGTCAGGCCTCTTCTCTGACAGGATATTGCTTTTGGTTGGGAAACTGGCTGGGACCTTTTAGTTCTATAACTACTAGCACTGCTGAATTTGCCCTGCAAGGTATTCCGTTATTCCATGCAGCAGGATCTACTTGGCCAATTAGGTCCGAGAGGCCTGATGTAGTCCGAACAAGTAAAATCTACTTTGGCCTTTTCTGGAATTTGAGGATTACCCCCCATTATGCTAATCTCTTGCTAGTAAGGGAGTAAAACACTGCGGGACAATTAAAAACTCGTGGTTGAACATTCACCTTTGAACTGACATGTCAGGGCTGATGTAAAGAAGCTCTGACTATGGTTCCCCCATCCTAATTACAGCTATAGATCTAAAGGAGGGTTTTCCAGAGGAACAAGCTAAAACAGATTGAGCTGCTGCCCTGTATCTACCAGTAATTGAATTAGCTCAACCATGACCAGGGCTACCCAGAGTTCCTCACGGGAGATGGTGATGTCTATGGGCAGGGTCATTGCAGAATGCCCCAGGTCCCTTCAGCCTTCTTTATCAGAGTGGAAGACTAGGGTTTTTGTTGACCTAGCCTCTTTCTTAGAGTGTGGACAGCCAATCCTCCAATGCCATGTGTCAAGCACATCAGCCATCTGCCACCCAGAGCAGGGCCCAGGTGATGACTTGTTACAGTCCCACGCCCAGTGTCCAGTCTTCTTGCATTTGTAGTAGGAACTGTTTTCCTGATTGGCTGTGGGTTTTTCCCTAGATGACTTGGGTGTGCTGAGCACCGCCAATTGTGACAGCTGTCATTATGGCTTGTCTTTTTTTCTCAGCCTTCTCCGTTTATGCTTATCTAGACCCTAATTGTTGAATACAGAAGAGACCATGTCCAGCAATTGAGTCATAGGTGTCCAGGCACCCATGTGAAGTTTTTGTGATTTGTGCTGAATACTGAATACTGGCACTGACTGTGTAATGAAATGCTGTGCCATAAGTGCCTGTCCCTCCCTGGAGAATGGATCTAGGGGTGCACACTTACGGAAAGCTTCTACTAACTGGCTACGGAACTCAGCTGGATTTTCTTCCTTACTGTGTAACTCTCCTAGGGTGAGGTTGAGATGTGACTCACAAGAGTAAGAAACTCTGCTCTGAGTATGTCCCACAGGGCTTAAAGCTGTCTGAGGAGCATGAGAAGGGGGCTGGGGAATACCGTGTCTCTCTGGGGTGCTGGACACTGCCGGAGTTCCTGAGTCACTTGAAGGGAAGGGGACTGATTTACTGGCCTGAGGATTATAAGGAGGAGGCTGAGGACACTACCTAGTGTGGCTGTTTGCATTAAACAGGTTTGAAAGACTCATATCCCCTGAGAGACAGGTGGGCATCTGAGAAGAGGATCATCAACAATATCAGCTTCCTCTCCCTTAGAGACTTCTTTAAATATCTTAGTTCTTCAGCCTTTCCAGAGTAAAGAGGCAAAAACCCTAAACATAAAGGATTTCATACCACTTTCCTTGCTTTTTGCAAAAATGATATAATTGAAAAATAGTATTGTAATTTAGGTTGCCGTTTTGTACCTACCTTTCCCCATTTTCTAGTTTATACAGGAACCAGACAATATGGTAATAAAGAGAAACTGCTCTTTTTTTCAGATTGTCAGGGTCAAATTGCTCCCAATTTTTAAGGATACAGCCTAATAGCAAGATTGCTGGGATCTGCAGGCTGTTTCTCACAGCCCATTGCCAATGGAGAAAGACAGACTGTAGGTCTAGGGTCTTTCAGGTGCCTCTCAACACAAGACCCATTGAGTCCCCAAGGTGTCCCTTTTGAGACCCAAGCACTACTCACCAGCTATCTTTGGTAGGGCAGCAACACTGCCTTTTTATTTTTTTCTCCTTAGAACACTCCATACCCTGTGGCCCACTATGACTCCCTAGAGAGAAGGGTGTAGCCCACCAGGGGATCCAACAAGCTACCTGAACAAGGAGGAGCCCCTTCTTCAGGGAAGGGGCTACTTGAGGGAAGGCCAGAGTGAAGCCCCCTGGGGGATCTAGCCACTTGACAAATAATATCCCTTACATTTATCCTGATAATGAAAACTTTGGTAATTACTTTAAGGCAGTAGATGTGGACTTCTCTCTTTTTTTTTAGCAATTTAAAAGGAAAAAAATCTTAAAAAGTTCTAAGTGCATGAATAGTTCTTTTGTATACTTGAGGCAGAAGATTAGGGCATGGCAGACTGGCTGGGGAAGTTGGCGTGACCTGTTAGCTGCAAAATTCCAGGACACATGCACAGAACAGTTCCCAAAGCCCTGCATACGGACTTCTAAGAACTAAAGCAATTTTGGATAGGGCAGCCTAGACCTGATATCAGCCAAAAGAGTGAGAGATACAAAAAAGGCCATTGAAATCTCTGCTACTGTGCTCTCTCACTCTGTAGAGTATACTTACTTTCCTTCTTTGATTTGGCCCAAACTCACTCTGCAGAGTCTGTTTCTTTCCCTACCTTTAATAAAGGTAAAACTTAACTAACTTGTGTGCTTGTCTTGACCAATTCTTTGTTCAGGACAGAAAAACACCTAGAAATCACCTCCAGAAGGAGACTCCAGCACCCCAAAAGCTGGAAACATACTCAGAGCTGGTTAAATTGACCTTACTGGCTGTTCCTTTGTTCTGCTCAGGCCCTCAGGCACACGTTTCTAAATGACCTGAATTTATGCTAGGAGAAGCAAGATGGGGATCTAACCTGATTCAGAAAAGGGGAAGAGTCCTATATGATCTCTGAAAGGTCAAACATGGCAGAACCATGTTGACCAGGACGGCTCCCTGACAAAGTGACTGTACAATAGTCAGAGATGAAAGTCCATCTAGGGGTGAAACACAAATGTACTCTCTGCAGAGTGCAGCACCAGCCACTGAGAAAGAAGGAACTCAGTGGCCACGAGGTTAGTGGTTACCACTTTCATACCCCCCATTCTGACATCCGATCCAGGCCATCCTAGCAAATCCTGCTTGATCTTGTGCCAGAAGAATTAAAGATAGCATTCTCAGATGGGTACCAGGTTCAGGGCTTTGCAGTTCTTCTGCACATGTGAGTGATTGCTTAGCATGGGAGAGGCCCAGGGCACATTCATCAGCACCAAAGAGAGAAGAAAACTATAACGCACAATTACCACATATCCATGATGCCAAATGCTAACACTACAGGTTCTTATCTATTATCTTAAAAGGTAGACATTCTAAATCCTCTGTAGTTTGGAGTGATTCTCACTAAAGCCAGCAACCGTATGGTTTCCTTGTAATCCCATCTGGCAGGAGATGCAGGGGAAGCTCCGAGACCAGTGTCTCAGAAGGGGTCTCAGGGATCTGTTGCTATGACACACTCGGCTCAACCTTAACTCCTCTGGGCTATCCTCTTTCTCTCTCTCTCTCTCTCTCAAGGAAAACTGCATGAGAAATTCCTGGTGGATCGCAGTGTGCAAGAGTACTTCCAAGTGCACAAGAAGAGAACCGTGATGGTGCCCATGGTCCACCGCTTAGGGAGATTCTACCTGCAGCGGCACAGGAGGCTGTCCAGCTGGGTGCTGGTCCAGCGCTACGTAGGTAACACTGTGGCCTTCTTCATCATGCCCGACCTGGGGAAGATGCCGCAGCTGGAGCAAAGACTCACCCTTGAGCACCTTGATGCCATCCAGAGACACATTGCCATTAGGTGATTCTCCAGGGCAGGGGCCCAGCGGGTGCTGCCCAGGCCTCTGAGCCATGGTAGGACCCGCCCTCAGGGCTGGCCCGAGGCTGGGAAGATGAATCCCATCCCTTGGGTCACAACCAGTGCACCTGGCCTTGTGTCTCTGAGTATCTGCTGCTCCCTTCCTGTGGCTGAGGCCAGGTCTGTGACCTGACAGTGCTCAGAATGGGAAGGCAAAGACCCTACCACAGCACGGATAGGTGAAGACCCTATCCTCCCTGCCCAGCACGGACGCTGTCCCTTCCCAGCACCCCTGCCAGGGGCCAGAACAGCCACATCAGTCATGGGTAGGGGCTTTGGAGGGTGAGGAGAGGGGCTTTAGGGTGGGAGCAGTGGGGTGGGAGCTCACAGGGAGACTCCCCGTGGAGGCGCCACCCGAAATAGCAACCAGAGACCCCCAGAGAGTAACGGGAGTATCCCACATATATGGGAAGGTGGGAGTATTGCAGTGGGGTTGTGCTCAGCATACTAAAGTGCGGGCATATTCAGGGAGGTTGAGGCAAGGGCAAGTTTTAAAGGGAACAGGGCAGAAATTTGCCTGGGCTTCTTGGTCTTGGAGACCAGCGGTAGACTGGCAGTGTTGTACGGAAGGCACCTCGTCTCCATGGCTACAGTCTCCATGAATGGAGAAGACAGCATCCTTAAAACTCTGTGCACACACGGGAGGCTGCAGAGATGAAGTGCTCGTAGAACAGGAGGAAATCATGTGAGACCTTCGAGCCTCCTGGAGCAGGTTCTTGAAGACACACGGGCAGGAGCAGATCAATCCCTTCTTTGTATCATGAACTTTTAGAATGCAGAGAGGAAGAGCTTGGGGAAAGGCCCAGAGAGGCAAGGGCTAGAGCTGGAACAGCCAGGGCGTTTTGCACAATGCTCTGCTCCAGTCACTTCTGCAGTGCGGACACTGGGTCCCCGAGCAATAGTCCCCAGCATTGAACGGAGTCCACGCCCCGCGGCACTC